ATTGAGTTGTTAACGAGGGGCTGCTGAGGGTGATTAGCATGTTCATTGTGTGAACTGTTCACACGTCCTGGTGGTTGATTGAGAATGCATACTATTGTTGATACTATGTGTTGTTGACACTATGTGTCAAACAGAACACATAAAAGTCATATAAGTATGAAACTGGAGAAACTCAAAATAACACCCACTTCAGAACCTCTAAAGACCTCATAAGGCTTTCTCAGGATCCAAAGAAGTAAGGGGTACTGAATTCCATCTACCTTGAATTAAAACAATAACTTCAGTTATCAGAACATTATAAATCCAGGCTGAGTAGGATGCATAATAGTTGGAAGAACAAGCTGTAATGTACAGATCAAGATAGCTGTTATCAGAGAAATAGGTTTATAATTGGAACAAACTAAGATCTTAGCCTATCTTGGGAGGGATTGAAATATAAGCCTCATTGAAACTAGGGGTGAAAAGTCAGTTAGAAAATGTTTCAGAGTATGCCTCCAGTAAAATAAGCCAGTGCGATTAGGAAGGATCTATGTGAATCATCTTTTCCATTTGAATAATTTAGATGATCTGACTGATTTTGACATCAGTATTGATTTGAATGATCTAAATTGAACCAGTCAGATTCAACTGATTTGTATACAGGTAGTCCCCAGTTTAAGAACTAGTTATGTTCCCAAGATCTGTCCTTAAGTCGAATTTGTATGTAAGGTGGAACAGTATTATTGTATAATACTGTATAAATAGTATTGTGTAATGAACTTGAACCTTGTGTATTTAAGTTGAATCATTACTTAAATGTTGCTACAATAGGCTCTGTTCTTAACTATGGGTTGTCCTTAAACCGGCCATTCTTAACCCGGGGACTACCTGTAGTTAAAATGCATATGCACATGTGCAAAACACATCTGAATCGTTGCTTCAGTTCAACTCAGTTATTACCCAGGACACAAAAGCAAAGAAGGAATGGCATTGCTTTCATAGTCTTGAAGAATATAGCGATAAAAGTACTGGGGTACAATACAGGCAAACACCAAATAATATTAATTAGACTTTGTGGATTATATTATTGGTACAAAGAGGTGGAATTCAGTTATAACAGTCTGGGTTGACTGAATAAGGGCTGACTGTGGAACAAATCATGAACTTGTGCAAGTTCCAAGTGAAAATGGAAAAACAAAACCATCCAGTTTCCATGATATGATCTTGAGACATTTTCAAGGAGAATATCACAGTTTACTTTGAAGTCCTGAACCTCATTGGTTGAAAACTAGAGGTACTGTGGAATGAAATCAGAGAAGTTGTTACGGGTATGGAAAGAGATTGCCAAAGACAAGAAACCGAAGAAATCAAACTGGATGTCAGAACAAATAGTTTACTGGTTTTCTCTCTTCCTTCCCAATATTGTGATACAGTACAATAAAAATCCTGTTTCAGAAGCATACTGTAACTTTTGTTGCATTTATACTTACTTTAAATCAGAGATTTATACAGCTCAAGAGATGAAGGAGAAAATAAGGGCTGTTAATTGTTAATTCTTTCCTCTCTGAGGAGTTAACTGTAACTATTGTTTCATTTTCAAAGAAGCATACAGAATAACAGGTCATTAAATACTTGTGTAGTTAATATTAAGCACAAAATGAAAAATGTATTTTGTTTTGAATACCAAAGAAGCACGTCGTAGCTCAGAACTTTGGCTGAACTGTTTTGGGTGGATTGTGGGCCACCTGAGCTGAAAACTGGAATTCTGTAGTTTATTTATTCCCAGTTTCAGCTGAGATAAAATCTGGAGGGATCCTGTGGGGTGATTAAGGGTGAGTTTACCAGCCCTGCCTTATTCACCCCCTAGGACCCCTCCAGGTTTTGTCTCCCCTCTCTCTCCCCTCCTCTTTTGCATGATCTCTGCATCAGCTTGTCCACAGACCTTCCCACCCCATTAGCGGCCATCCTTGAACTCAAGCATGGCATATCTATTGGCTCACCTGCCTCTCCCCTGATCTTCCAAATCCCTTCCCTTTCCCTTACTTCCTCTTTTCCACTACCAGTGGTCTTGTCTTTTTCCCACTCTCTGTACCCTGGAACATCTCTGCCCAGAACAAGGATGTTTTGGGTCCATACCTGCATCAAGCAGACTTGTTTTGAGTCTGCGCCCGTACAAACCACATATATTTCACTTGGACGTGGACCATCCAGAAGTGATTATTGTGTGCATAGAATGGTTTGTATGAAATATTTTGCACATCCCTATTTGTGGCATCTCATACCAAAAACAGTTATATTCATCTCTTGTAATATGAAAAAACCCTACTGTCTCCTGTTTCATCTGTTTAATTAATTATTGATCATACAAAAAAGATACATCCAGGGACGATTTAAAATATATATTTGAACTGTTGTCAAACAAGATTATATGATGTATAGCAGCATGGACTGAATTAGTTGTAGTGTTTATGTTACAGATTTTAATGTTAAATACAAAGGAACGAGATACAAAGAAATAATGTAGACTAAAGCAACTTCTGTGTACTGAAGAAAGAAAATATATTCATGTTACAAAGGAGTAAAGGAACACAACATTTTGTTTAGTTAAATTTGCTCTTAAGTTTGGGAAAATATTATGAATCTAAGGGTATAATTTGGGAGGGAGAATTACAATCCAAGGTTTAATTCAGATCCTCTCCATTCATTACATGCTCCACAGACATAATATGCAATGTTGAAAATGTGTTTACAATGACTCTTGAGAACTGAGAAGATGGTGGAGAGAAGAACTACATTTTCTCTCAGACTCTGCCTTATCTTCATGCATTCCATTGCTCTGACCACTGTTTGTTTATTTACTGAAATATTTTAGAGTGCATTTTCTTTAAATAAGAAAATAAGATTTAACTAATTGCAAATGCAAAGGGTAATTAGTGAATTTGGACAATATTGCTCTTTCATATTCAATTGTTAGATGGAATGCTTGTTTCTATATTAAAACATATTTTGAATTAAGTTTAATTGCTGAAACTGGATTTTTACATTTCTACCTTTAGGTTTGGCTTTAAATCAGTATGAGTTCTAAACTTTTGGGTTAATTTAAACATATGCTTGTAAAATAGTATTTACACTTGTTTGTTGACACTGGATGTTTTGTATGCCTGAATAAATAATACTTAGCATATGAAGTGATCGATATCTTTATCCTGTAGACCTTTAGTAATCCTGCATTATCAGTTTCCTATTTACCCTTTTAGATAACTTATTAATATATTTACAAGCACTGGTCCTCTATGGATCCTAGGGAGATGCTAGTATTTATGTTCCATTATTCACTTATTGTCAGCCTTTTGAGTTGGCCAGGTCAGGAAACAGGCACTGCAAAGATTACAGGAATGGCTGTAATTCCCATACCGGGTGGGGAATTCTGGGAATTGAAATCCACACATCTTAAAGTTCCCAAGATTGAAAAACACTGCTGCAGCGTATAATAATAGAATCTTGAAATCCTGCAAGAGTTTCCCCTTGCCTGCTCTTTTACTGAACAGAATGAAGGCAGGGTTATTTTGGATTTCTTTCTCATGCTTCCCAGGACTAAGTTGTTCTTTTTCCATCCTTGACAACTCCTGCATTCCATCATTAAGGTTATCTTTGCAGTCCTCTACACTTATTTCTAATATCTCTATGTTCTTTAACCAATTAACACTCTCAGAAAGAATCTCCAATTATCCCATTGCTGCAATTTGTTAGGCTTCTGTGGTGAGGAACTCCATTGACAACATTTTAAAATATCTCTTGGCTTACCTCCTTGGTGACATTCTTAAACCTTAAAAAATAGGACTCTATAGATACTGTGCTTACTATTCTTCTGAAAAATTACTCCTATATGTTGGATAATGTTATATTTAATATTCTTCCACCTGTTTATCTGGAAGAGACTTTAATTGAACAGGAATATGATTTACTGGACACCGTCTAAATCCTCCTTTGTTTATTTTTTTAAGTGACATTGGCCATTTTCTGGTCTTCTGATACAGAGGTCAGACTTAGGACATGTTTCATATTTTTGCTAGAGGATCAGGACTGTAGCATTTAAAACCTTTAAAGCACTTGTACATGCATACCACTTGATTTTGTTTTTTTGCCCTAAAAGGTTCTAAAACTGCATCTTATCACCACCCCTTGATTTAGTTTTTCAGCTTTCCTTCCTAAAAATATCAATTTAGGTATAGCTACATGCTGCTTATTTTCTTCAGTGAAGATAGGTACATAGAATTTATCCATCCTTACCACATTCTCTTTATTTTCCTTTAATATTCCTTATGATCATTAGATATATCTTTACTTTGGCTTTAATATTAATAATGAAATATAGTTTATCCTTTACTATCTCCTTGAATTTGTCCTATACAAATGTATACTTTTGTTTTCTCTTTTTTGTCAACACTTTCACTTTTTGAAGAAGTTTCTTTTTTATAGTAGTTTGCTTGATTGTGCCCATTAACAATATAGGGGAAGTTCTTGGATCTCTTTCAACTTTTATAGATATACTGTAAACTTTTCATAAATAAGAATATATCTTTCTCAGAAATATGAAATTAAACAACATTTCCTTTGTGATTTGTATATTGTGTTGTTGCAGAATATCCCAGAACAAATCCAGAATTTTTCCTAAAAGCCGCTGGAATTAATGCTGGTTATTATTCAGTGGGGGACCTCTGAAGAAGGCTTTTGCCAAATTTCAAAGGTAGTAAGTTTAATCCACACTCCCTTATTTCCTCCTCCAAGTCAGAGAAACAGCTTTTAAAAATTTTACTGTCTGTGATCTAGATGGTGAAATGAGCTGCCTATTTCAATCTGAAATGATGTGGTGAGGGAAGACTTTTAAAATCATTAAATATTCTACAAAGGCAGATCTACAAGAAAAGAATTCCGATATGCTTTATAGTTAGGAGCTTTAAATTCTAACTGATTCTGATGGGAGAGTCAAGCATCATGTTTCTTTCTGCCGTAGGATTCAGGAGGGATTAACATTGGATTCTGACTATTGCTTTAATGTACTTAGGTGAGGGATTACTCTGGATTGATCCTAAGGTTGATTCTGTGGCTGCTTTGGTTATTGATACCTGGCTGAATTTTCATTTGAAATCACCTTAAACCCTGATTTGCTGGCATCCAGTTATTAAAAGCTTATCTTATGAAAATAAAGTATATAAAGAAAATAGAGTGAAAAAGAAGAAGACAGAACAAAACAATGTATAAATGCATTTCTAGGGATTGGATGGATATTGTTGACAATTAGACAAGAAAACTCTGCAAAAGGGTCTTCATATTGAGACTGTGAAAGCTGATTTGTAGATGGATTGTCATTTTTGCAAATTTGATTGAGATGGATTTATAAATTGAAAACTTTTCTCCAGCTAGTCTCCAAGTTGCCTCCTAATGAAGAATTATTATTTTGCTGACTTCGTTTGAAATGATAGTAATTGGAGTATTTCTTATTGCAAATGCAAATTACATGACATTTTGCCTATTTTTCTTTAAGAGAGATTTGCCCATCAATTCTCCAATGTCTGTCTGCCTTTTTTCTCTAAGTATCAAAAATGAGTTCACCTAAATTAGACTTAGCTGATCTTGCTGATTCCCTGGTATCTTGTCCCAAGCAACTAGGATACTAGGCCTTCCTTGTACTTTGAGGGACATTTACTTATTTATTTATTTACAAGGCTTATACACTGCTCCAATCTGCTACCTCTCAACGGTATGCTAAGATGCACCTTGAATTGTATCTGGAATCACTGCAGCTTATCTATCTATCTGTCTGTCTGTCTGTCTATCTGTGTATCTACCTACCTACCTACCTACCTACCTACCTACCTATCTATCTATCTATCTATCTATCTATCTATCTATCTATCAATCAATCAATCAGTCAATCAATCATTTTTATATAGCTGCCCATCTCACACAAAGTGACTGTGGACGGCGTACAACAATTAAAAAGAATAAATACATAAAAACAATTACAAATTAAAAACTATAAAAGCATACAAAACAGGAGGGGATAAAATATTAATTAAGGGAGCCATCATAAAATCTCCCCGGTCCCCTGGGAGCCCCAGGCCTGATCACATAGCCAGGTCTTGAGGGACTTGCAGAATTTTGAGAGGGATGGAGCTAATCTCACTTCCGGGGGGAGGAAATTCCACAAGGCAGGTGGCCCGGCAGAGAAGGCCCACCTCCTGGGACCCGCCAAATGTAATTCTCTGGCAGATGGGACTCGCACCATGCCTTCTCTGCCAGACCTGATGGGGTGGGCAGATGTAATCAGGGAGAGGCGGTCCCTCAGGTAGCCTGGCCCCATGCCATGAAGGGCTTTAAAGATCAAAATCAGCACTTTGAATTGGACCCGGAAGCAAACTGGCAACCAGCGCAGCTCACGGAGCAGAGGTGTAACATGTACCGCCCTCAGGGCACACATAACTGCCCGCACTGCTGCATTTTGCACCAGCTGAAGCTTCCAGATACTTACACTCTCAACACAGTTGATCAGGCTGTGCTAGAGTAGGCTGGGAATCAGACTCAGGGCGTCCCCTGCTCCAACAAGAGTCATCTCACACTTTCAGGTGGGTATGGTTTCCATCCTTTCTTTTATACCCAACTTGTTTACTTAGAATTCATCCAGGTCATCTCCATCCAGGTCGTCCAGGTACGGTACATGCCAGGAACATTTCATATTCGGTACGTTGGGTGACTTGTTGCAATGGTACCTCTCGTCCTGTTATCTTATAAATTTATGATGTGTCACTTTATTCCTTACACCAGCATTCTAGCCTTATCAGTGTTGAGAAGTCATTTGTACAAGGTATCTAGCGTACATTCCAACATTCCTTCATGCCAGCAACGTGAGTTTCCTAGTAAAGTTCATGAAT